AGTAGATCCCCTAATTTGGGATCCTATACTACTAAGGGCTCTTTATAGGAGCCCCCATTGAGGGATCTACTTTCTGGATCCTCCCGGGGGTCTGGGATACAGCCATAAGAATAACACAGAGGACCTTAGCCAAGTCCTCAGCCAGAAATCCTGGGACAGCCAACCCCACAAACACCCACTGCCAACACCTCATGTATGTTGTGATATATAGATACATACAAAATGCGGCTGCAAGTAGATGGATGTGTGTGAAACCCTAAACCCCTAAACCCTAAACCCCTAAACCCTAAAGCCTAAAACCCTAAACCCTAATTTAGTATCTCACTAAGTGGGAAACCCTTGCAACTAGGCGCCCAGCATACCACTTGGAGGTTCATGGGACTTAGTAAGTACTGTTATAAGTACCTTAATTGGGGTTATAAGTACTTATAAGTATAGTTACGTTATTTCCCCTAAACCCTAAACCCTAAACCCTAAACCCTAAACCCTAGTTACTAAGTCCCATGAACCTTTAAGCAGAGACTTCTAGGGCTCTCACCAAGAAAACAGCTTTTTGAAATCCTCAGAGACTCCAAAACCCCTTAATTAAGGAATATACCTTGTTTAGGGTTTAGGGTTTAGGGTTTAGGGTTATAATAGGATCCCTAGTATGCATAAACGTATAGTCCCGAAAAACAGGGGGTTTGGAGTCTCTGGGTCCTCAACCTCATGAGCACCTAGACTTTTGAGCCCGAATCTTACTTCCCAAGTATCCAAGGAAACAGGCTGATCAGCTTCCACAGCCGTACTGAGCTCTAAGAAGCCAAAAACGGGTTCGATTCGGTCTGGAATTCCAGTCCAAACCTGATTAGAGTTTGGGGTTTAGGGTTTAGGGTTTAGGGTCCCAAGAAACCCTGAAAGACCCCAAGCGCCTCCATCATCGATGGGCTTTCGACACGAGCCTGCTGGAACGCCGAAGCCTGGGACACGAAGCCCCTTCGGGATTGTTCGGGTAGTTTAAGCTCCATGTCCGGCATCCCTACCTTAAACTACCAAAACCTATTTTTTGTAGGGTCCCTATAAATTCGATATTAGAGTTTAGAATAAGGACCTTCAAAAAAGTAGGGCTATGGCTGTTCAAGGTAATCCCTGATGACCCAAGCGTCATTCTCGACAAGAAGCTGAGCAGAAAACATAGCCAACATCTCATGCCGTAAGGTGGAGAGGACATAAACATCCGAGGGTTTAGGGCTTTAGGGTATATAGGGCTGGAGGCTTAGAAGGTATAGGTTAGAGGGTTTTAGGGTGAAGCTAGTTCTGATGTTTAGACAATTTAAGCGGTCGGGGAACCATCAGAGAAATTTCTCAAATGGCCGTTCTTTAGGATGTACTTGGAGGGTCGGGGGACCTAGTAAGTGGTAGTATAGACTTATAAGTACCCTAGAAGGAGTCCTAATTGGGGTTTATGATACCTATAAGTCTATAGAATAACTACTTACTAAGACCCCCGTTGGGATTCGAACCAAATCGAGGGCTAAGACACAGAGCAGTTGAGCATGTTGACAGTCAGGGTACTTATCGCAAAGGGTCTGAAGCACCTATATGGGGAAACCGAAAGACCCAAGACGCGACACCCCAAACCCTAAAATCCAAAACCCTAAACACTGATCCCTAAACCGCAAACCACTGAAACCCTGTAAATGACACAGGGGTAGTTGGCATCAGCTTTATGCCAAAAAGCTCGCCGCAAAGTTCGTGCCGCAGCCTGGCCAGTAAAGGTGTTAGGATTTATACCACCTTAAAACTATTTCTTGGGACCTAGACAGGGACTCTAATTTACCTAAACCCTAAACCCTAAACCCTAAACCCTAAACCCTAGAGTACTCATGTGCGTCCTTGGTAGAGTGTTCTAGTTTAGGGTTTTGGGTTGAGGGGTTTCATTAGGGATTTTCGGGTTTGGGGGTTTGGGGCTTCGGAGTGTTACAGTTTAGAGTTTAGGGTTTAGGGTTTAGGGTTTAGGGTTTAGGGTTTAGGATCGGGCTCTGAGCTTTTCGCTGAGATGCGGCTGCAGGGCGTAGGGCAAATAAGCCAAATCCGTACGCTCCAAGCCAAGCTCTACACACAAGTACATAACGCCCACAGAAACACCCGAGGCCAAGGAACCCCGCAGCGCAAACGCGCTTTTTTTCCGAATAGTCCGGTCGCAAGCGCAGGAACTTTAGGCCTTCGTATGCTATTGACCTGAGCTGCGGCCCTTAATTATCCGTTAGCATCTGCATCGTCCGGAGAACACCCGCGAGGGTTGCGACTTGCGACTGGGATGTTGGTCGAGATTTGAGATACTTGATGATTTCCATCCGGTTCGTCTTCAGCGCATTCACATGGTCCTGCTTTTTCAGTGCCACCTGTAGGAGCATGTCCGGCGAAGATTGTCGGAGCAGTTCCAAGTCCTCCTTAGTGCTCTCCCTGGCCACGTGCCCCATGCACCTCTGGTACTGTCTGTTGAGGCCGTGCCTGTCAGCTTGCAGGAGCCGAGCACAAGTGGGCGCAAGAGTAAGCAGCAGATCCTCACTCGTCTGCTTGATGATCTCGACCTGGTAATAGTCACTGATTGCCAGAAGGGAGTCCACGTTCGCCTCCGTGACTTTATCGGTGCTCCATGCCCACGGACCCAGCAAATTATAGAAGGTGATGAACTCCTGTTTGCTGGCCACATCCACCTTGATGACGCCATGCTGTGCTTCCTTCATGCCGCTCTCAAACAAGCGGTTGAACACAGGAGAAGCCACACGGAGCACGTGAGAGCTGGCTAGCATGAAGCTCTCAGAATCTTCTCCAAACTCCAGACGCACATCGCCGCCGAGCTGCTCTAGACTGGCGGCTGTCGGCGTCCTGACGTTGTCAGTGGCCTGCGATTCCATGTCCTCGGCTGTTCTCTTAGTTCCCCTCTCCATGGCGGCCGTTGCCCCAGCAAAAAGCCAGCGATGCAAGAGGGTATTGAGCTACACTATGTGTGAGGTGATGAGTCTGGTGCTACTTCGTTAATTACCGGATTCGTTGGCCAAGGAATGCCAACAAGGACATGCCCAGCATGCAGAGCTTAGAAAGCCGAGTACTAAAACTGAACGAGGTAGTTGCTGAGGTTTGCGATTCAATCTTTCAGAGCTACGCGAAACTGTTTCGAGATGCGAGAAGCTTGCACGTCATAGAATAAGGAGCGGTACAAAAAAAAACATAGCTTCTGTGAGTCGATCATGCTTGCTGACTTGCTGGAGCGGTCTCTTCATCATATGCATAAGCCTCTCAAGTCAAGAACACCTAATCCAGCGAGAGTAGCGCTGGCCGTAGCCCTGGAAGCCGGCACTCGATATGACAATCCCTCGATCGAAGTTCCAAGTACAAGAAACAGTTCCCAGCTACTCTGTTTCAGACAGAACCGCGCAGGACGTTAAACTCACAAGGCCCCAAACTCCAAATTGCCCTTATGCATGCACGTGAAACAACCCAACAGAGACCCGAATCACTGAACCCCAAAACCCCCAAAACCATAGAAGACTCAACAATCCAAAATAGTCTGAGGAGGACGAATATTGCGTTTCGGTGCGAGACGCTGGAGCGCCCGACAAATAGGGTTCTCACAGGGTGTTACAGTTTCATTTTACGGTCTGTTTGTAGCTTCCTCTCCAAGGTTGTGTAATTTCCGCTTGAGGGCTTTGTAGTTTCCTGGTTCGGGTTTAAGGCTTAGGGAATACACGGCCCATAAAACCTAAACCCTAAACCCCTAAACCCTAAGCAAGTAAACCCTTAACCCCTAGACCCTAAAGCCTAATTATGGCAAGGGGTTGCTCTAAGCTCTCCTCTACCTAGACCCGAAACCCTAAACCCTAAACCCTAGACCCCCGGAAGCTCTAGAAAGTAGATCCCCTAATTTGGCACCCTACACTACTCAGCGGTACGTTATAGGAATCCTCCTTAGGGGATTTTTTAGAGCCTCCCGAGATTCTGGGTACAGGGTTCCGTATTACAACTTGGAGCGGAGGGGACTTGGTAAGTATAGGATGCCTTCAGGGGCTCTTTAAAGGGATCTATAAGGGTGAAGGAGGGTCGGGGACGTAGTGACTTGCTATCCCAGTCAGTATCCCCCTTTTATGGGCCATGGGTCTACTTATTACCCAATTACTGTGTCCCCCTGGTCCTTCGAGAAGGGGGTAGGCGTTACTCATGATGGTGTAGAAATTACAGGGAGTGTGCTCAAAAAATGGAATAGAGGGTTCAGGGTTTAGAATTAGAGTTTAGGGGTGTCCTACTCAATCGGGAAATAGGGGTTAAGGGTCAACAAAATCGCTGTAGGTCAAGAGCTAAAGAGGCAATACAACAAAATGAACCAGGCCTCCAGATCTCGTGCCAAGACGTTGCGGCGATCCTCGCAATTATGGATGAGAAAGATTGAGGCTTCCTCTTGGATGGATCGCAACTAAGGGCATTCTGTTTGAAAGATCACGGAACATAGGAAGCAGGTTGACTTGTGCTACAAGGCTGTCATTGAGCCACAGAACCTCAACTGGATTTCATCTTCCCTCAACTATAACCTATGCTTATCAATATTAATTCCAGCGATCGCTTAACCCAATTTGCAGTTCATTGGCTTGGGGCTCATCTTCTGTGGTCACCCTCCAGTGGACGTGCAGAACAGGAACGAAGCGGTTCAACATACTCTCGGCCACCTACTCCGAATCCTACACGTTACTTTCCCCAGAATCCCAGAAGAGTCAAAATAAATAGAGCATGTCAATCAAAGCCTATCCTAAGGCAACAAATCGTGGGATGCATCGTTTGGCGCGTCGTGGTTTAGTTCCCTAATGGGTCTTGGCAATATAGGGGCCTTAACATTTTGAATAGGGTTTTGGGATATAGTATACCATAGTGATAATATTCAGGAACCCCCAAGATAGTATAAAGGTAATTATTTAGGCCCCTACACCAGTAATGTCCCGCATAACTGCCGCATAACCCGGCCATGAAGAAGGGGGAGGTTCAGGAAACTGGGGGGCTTAAGGCGTTGTTGGCCTTATGATAAGGGTTTGGATCTTAGTATTGGGTGTACTAACGTTTGCTGAATTTTTTTGGATTAAGGTTGAGGGGGGTTTGTGCAACAAGGCCGAAACCCTAAACCCTAAACCCTAAACCCTAAACCCTACACCTTTCTGAAACTCCTACGACCCAGGGTTCCAGGTCTGTACTTCTTAGCTAACCCAGACCGCCAAAAAAATCCAAAAAGTAGATCCCTTACTGGGGGTTCCTATAAAGAGCCCTTAGTAGTATAGGGTCCCAAATTAGGGGTTCTACTTTCTAGATCCTTCCGGGGGTCTGGGAATGCAGGAAGGAAGCGGGACCGCATCATGCAGAGGTATGGCCATGAAGGCCGTGCCCAAAGGTGCGGGGTACCTAGACCCCACCCAGCTACCCTCTCTCATATACCCCGAAAACCCTCTATGAAACGCCATGAAGGGCTTTATTCAACGGTAACCACTACTCTTCTGAAACTTGCTGTAGCATCCAAAAGCCTAAGACCGAAACCTCAAAATCTAAATCATAAACTTTGAACCATACGTCCGGAAAACAAACTCCTCGCAGGGGCCTGCAGAACCCGCAAAGGAGCCCTCCCTAAACCCCAAACCCCTAAGCCCCAAAAGCCCTATGTAGCAGAAAACCGTCAAAAAAAAGTCTTACCCATAGGCCCCATAGTAGCTCCTTTTTGGGATTACCTTATAGGATTCTAAGTATAAGCCACCCAAGAAGGAACTACTATGGGGCCTTTGGGTAGGCCTGAAAGCCTTAAAGGAACCCAGCAACTCACCCCAAAAGGCGTTAGCCTACACCCCTCAGGTTTAGGGGTTTGGGGTTTAGGGGTTTAGGGGTTTAGGGTTCCCCCACCATGGTGCTGCATACTTACCATACGAATCCTTAAAGCAGATTAGGCATGCTACTACAAGTTAAAGGATATGCCGTAACTCAGGGATATAGAAAGATCTGGGTATCATAGGGGTCGGACTTGTTACAACTAGCACCCCCGCATAGTCCCGAGACCACTGATTGCAGTATCACGCCAAAGCTCCGAACTTCTGAAGGTCCAAACCCAAGGCTTCCAAGGACCTTATAGTTAGGGCCCTAGACCCCTTAAGGACCCAATAATAAGGTCCCTGGAAGCCTAGGGAAAGTTTAGAGCTTTTGGCTTTAAGTTAAAGGAAACTACAGGTCGGGAGTTTAGCGTATATAGGGCTTCTAGAAGGCTTCCATAAGGTATATAGACGTTCTATAAAGCTCCTATAACGGTAACTACCCACCTGAACATGTCCTAGATCAAGGTGTAGGAAGGATTCAAGAAATAGAAACACGAAAACCAGGCCTAGCTTGGTTTAGGGTTTAGGGTTTAGGGTTTAGAGTTTAAAGTTTAGGCTTTAGGGTTTATGGGGGGTTCCCCGAAACCCTAAACCCCTACGTAGTGACTGCTTGCATAAACCCGTTTCCCAAAGGCCCCATAGTAGTTCCTTTTTGTGGCTTATATTCAGGATCCTACTAGGGAATCCCGAAAAGGAACTACTATGGGGCCTATGGGTAAGCCCTAAACCCTACATATCCTTTAGAGAGCCCTGGTGCGAAGCCACAAACGGTTGGAAAGGCCTCGTCTATGACCTTCGCCGCTCTGAGGCAATCAGATGCCTGCCTTTGCCTGGCTCCACAGGCTTCAGGGTTCGGTTTAGGGTTTCGGCTTCAGGGTTCGGTTTAGGGTTTCGACTTCAGGGTTCGGGTTTAGGGTTTAGGGGGGTTTAGGGTTCGGGGTTTAGTTTAGGGTTTAGGGTTTAGGGTTCAGGGTTCGGGGTTTAGGGTTCGGTGTTTAAGGTCGGTTGAAAAAACAAGGATGCTTCATAATTCGAGCAGAGTACTTGTATCACCAATTAAGGTACTTTTAGCAGTACTTGCTAAGTCCCATGAACCTCCAACTACTGACAAAAGCAGTAAATCGTGGGGTTTCCCATCTACCCGGACCTCTTGAAGGACTACCACAAAACACAGAAACCCTTAAATGGGGTTCCTGCATAGGTGCTTTAAGGCTATAAGTATAGACTATGTATGTACATTGAGTACTTGAACGATTGGGGCAGGCATCGGACGTGCTTTCTGCCGTTCACTGAAAACTTAGTTTAATAATTAGTAATTCTAAACCCTGAACCCTAAACCCCTGATCCCTCATGCCTTAGGGTTTCAGGGCTACCCGGACCCCCTGAAGGAAACGGTTTGGGGTTTAGGGGTTAAGGTTTAGGGTTTAGGGTTTGGGGTTTAGGGGTTCAAGGTTTAGGGTTTAGAGTTTAGGTTTCAGGGTTTAGGGATTTTAGGGTTTAGGGTTTAGGGTTTAGGTTTCAGGGTTTAGGGATTTTAGGGTTTAGGGTTTAGGGCTTAGGTTTCAGGGTTTTGGGTTCAGGGTTTAGGGGCATTCAAGCCTAGAAGGTCAACAGCGTAGCCCACCTGTGCACCGTTGAGATCGAGCCTTTGTCAACAAGTAGTGCTTTTGTAGATGAATTCAGAGGCCCGTGTCAAAAGCCTACAACCCCGAAGCCCTTAAATGAACACTCTCATCTAGTGCTCCAGGGAACAAGTCAACTTGCCCACCCCCCCTCTCCCAATCTTTAACTGAAACCCTAAACCCTAAACCCCTAAACCCCCAAATCCCTAAACCCCTAAACCCTAAACTCTAAACCCTAAACCCTAAACCCTGCTGAGCCCTAAACCTTCAACGCATGTAGTCCAAAGGCCCAAA